TATCAATGAGATTCTACAATGAGATCTGAGCAACTATCCACCTCTCTCTCTCTCTGGGTGGTCAAGAGGTTGATCAATCACAACCTCTGGCGGGAGGCAGAACGCGAGCGGCTCCCCCTGCTGAAAACCTGCCAGAACCAAGAGGCACGTGAACTATTTCAGAAGTCCTCGGCTCCCCTTCCTAAGGATGCTCACAACATGAGAGCCCCATCACTGCCCCTTCCTCAGGCCTTACTAACAGGTAGTGCAAAGAGACCACCACCATCTACCAGAGCGCTTCAAAAGCATCTTGCCCAACTACTGATCACATTGTCATTGGATACTCCCACACTGTCCCAGCTGATCAGGCTAGGTTTCCTCCCAGCCCAACTGCCAACTTTGCTACCATAGCACACTCATCACTTCTTCCTGCACCTCAAGTGAAGTTTTTGCAGCACTCACATGGGGGGGGGGGGGGGGCGGGGGGGGGGGGAAAAAGAAAAAAAAAAATAACAGAATCAAAAGTGCCATCACATCCCAAGAAGCGTCCCTGAATGGTGGCTTTTGGTACTCAGCAACCTGCATGGGACTCAAGGTCGACTTGCGTTCCAGGCTGTTAGCAGGAGGTCTCCATAAGCTGTTCCCCAGGTTCTTCCCCACTGTGCTTTGCTTGGCAGCCTCCACTCAAGTGCAGAGGGAGGAAGGGTGAGCTGAATTTTGCACATCAGGGAGGTCTGTTCTTGGAATAAGACAGACCAGCAGAAGATATTCAATGTTGATGAGGAACGGCAGCCATCCCCAAGTGAGAGAAAGCCCAGGGGGAGTTGGAAAGGGAGAAGGACCAAGGGACTCATGACTAAATGGGGGAGGCTTCCATTAACTCCAGCTGTTGTTGACTAATACTATACCTAACCTTCAAGCCTGGCTAAGGATATTGTGTCTGCCAAATACAGAGAGATTTCCTCCAATACGAGACCTCATTGCCCGAAACCCTTTATAGCTGCGGCCAGGGAGTTGCTCTCTAGTGCCATCTGTTATGCAACATCTTTATTCCCAAATAAATAAATGCCTGCCACAAGTGTAGGAGAGAAAGGGCATGTCTACACTTACCTCCGGAACGATCGATCCAGCGGGAGTCGATTTATCGTGTCTTCACTAGATGCAAGAAATCGACCACCGAGCGCTCTCCCGTCGACTCCAGTACTCCACTGGAGTGAGAAGTGTAGGCGGAGTTGACGGGGGAGCGGCAGCAGTAAACCTACCGCAGTGAAGATACCGAGGTAAGTAGCTCTAAGTACGTCGACTTCAGCTACGCTATTTTCGTAGCTGAAGTTGCGTAACTTAGACCGACTTAGCTTGCCTGCCCCCCCCAGTGTAGACCAGGCCAAAGAGAGCCTGAAGCACTGGGCCTGGTGCAAGATTTGAGGCCTGAACCAAAGGCTATGAACCAAAGTCAGGCTGTGTATTAAACAGATCCTTACAAATTCACTTTGTGGTACGTTAACTTGGCAAAGTTGTTGCTAGCATACTAGGCACTAGATATTTATGTAAATTCATTCCAGAAGGCTAGTACAGATATCCCCAATCTAGTACAAGAGAAGACGGTTTGACAGAATAATGAATAGGGATGTTTTGTCCGAAATATCAGGAACAAGGGAAGGTTTAAAAAAAAAAAAAAAAACACAGATGTCCTGAAACATGTAAGGTAGTACGTAAACTGTTTATCCCAGTTTGTCTCAGTCTATAAATGTTGGGGGTACCTCACCTTAACCCTTTGTGTGGCCAAGGGGACAGCAGAAATTCCCGCTGCTCCTCGCCACTGGGCACTCATGTGTACCTGTAGCTCCTATGGGATGCTAGCACTGTGCCTTGGGGGCAATAAAGCTGGCCAAGTGCCTTTGTCATCGAACTGTGCCAGTGGTCTCTCTTTATGAGTAAGATCAAGGTCTACTGGATTAGCAGGCTACGCTCTCTGCTAGTGCTGATAACACCAGAACTCCAAGGACAGAAGCACTGAGCAGTTGGAACAGCTTTATCAGCAACAACATTCTTCAGCACCCTTCTACAACAAGCAGTGAGAAGACAACTAGAGTGGCTGTGAGCAGAGACCAAAGTGATCTTCTAAAAGGCTTTCAACCCAATCCTGAAGTGGAGATTGCAAGAGTGCTGATGAGGACTAGCATTAATTTTCTCTATAAAGAGCCATCAGCAGGTCAGCCCAGGCAAATTAGGAAAAAGGCCTGCTAGAACTTCAAACTGACCCAGCCTGATATGACCACCAGGCTGCCACTCCTTAGACTAGAGGGTTTTTTAAAGCCCAATTTAATAACCATATATACACCAAGTTTCATAGCCATAGGAGCCAGGAAAGGGGAGAAATGGGGAAGAGGCCTTCACTGCCAGCAGTGTTCAGGGAATCAAGCTACAAAGTAGCTCACTGAGAAAGTATAAACATTATATATTGGTAGGTAGTCATTAATCATTCTCTGTTACTGTTGTGACAGCCTCTGACCATATTTGTAGTCCTTCCATTTCAATTCAGCTTACCTACTCTTAGCAAGCTATTTGGATCTAACCAAACCTGGACTGTTTTAAATCTGATTATGAGTAAGTGTAACTGCTAACGTAAATATATTTCCTAATTCAGTTTAGCTAAATCTACCTTTCATAGTTCAAGATAATTTGTTTTGAGAATTAGTCCACATTTGATCTAGCTGGAAATACAATTTGATTAATTCTGCATTTTCAATAGCTCTTGGAGTATGCTGAATGATATAAATTGCAATTAACAGGCCACTGAAGCTAGAAAATCATATTTAAAAGCCATCTTTACATGAATTACTGATAACAGATTATTAAAATGGATTTAACTTTTAAAGTGTCATTTATTTTTGATTATTTACGCCATGTGCTTTTTATTTTATTTTATTGAGCTTTGAAAAAGAAAACAGGCTAGTCGGCTTCATTTTGGTCAGTTTCAAGCCAATTTCTCTTTCCCATTCTTGGGCACTACCAAAACATTGCAATATTCAGATTGCAGAGACAGCAGGAAACAAAACTGCTTCCACAGACTTTTTAAAAATAAGTTGATGAACAATTTTATACCAATACTAGATTCTGTAATGCTTCGCCCCACACGGTATCATAGCATTTAATTCCAATGCAACAATAGCACTGACCTGTTAAGTATCGATAAGAAGAGTAACTAAAACTACAAAAATAAAGACATTTTGGAACCATATTTATACATCAATGTTTTAATAAATCAGGAAAATGGTTTAGTTACCAAGTAACAATAAAGAATCACCTGCCACTAATAGAAAATATCTATATTCAACTTCAAGCTAGTTTTAAAGATAGATTCTAGCCTTGAACATTTAAAATGGGATTTTGATGCCCAGTTCCATTACAATTAATGGGATTCTATATGAAAACCAATTCAGGCAGTTTTGAACATCTCAGCCATAATCTTCCCTCAAAACCAAGAAGTGAAGATTTTAATGCTGATAGGGGATTTATTACAGTATTTTCTAAAGCTCTCAATTTGGAGCCAGGATCTTGATGATGCAGCCAGCAGTAAACATCATCATCAGCTAAAAAGAGAAGGAGAAGGAGATGGAGCCGGGACATGTACTTGGAAAGTTATTGAAGATTCTAAGATCAGGAACAGATGGAGGTGTTTGAAGATGGAGTAATAAGTTCCCTACCCTTCCTCCTTAAGGGAGCTACTGTCATTCTCCCCTGAGATGGATTTGTATTGAAGGGAAGAGGAAGGGGGAGATGGGTATTTCCCACTGAAATCAGTAAACTGCTTCCTTCAGACTAAAAGGCTTCCTCTCACCAAGCAGAGCCCTCCATCAGGAGTTTCCAAATTACCAAGTGTGACTAAACCTTAAACTCTCAGTAATCTGCAGGCTCCTGCAGCAGCAGCTTTTAGAGAAACAGGGGCAGTGTTTGCAGCTGCAACAGTTTTCCCCCATCAGCAGTTAATGGCATTAGCCTGAAAGCTGCTTTGTGTGATCCAGGAGACACTGAGCTAGTGGTGTTAGAGCTCAAACAGATGACAGAGAGGTGTGTGGCACAGGGGAGCAGTTCACCCTTTCTAGCTAATCAGCAGAACATCTCCCCACTTTCTAATAGCTAGATAAATACACAAGCCTCCTCCACCAAGAACATGGATACTCCTCTACAGAGAGCAACCCCACATAAAAGTTTCTAGGTGATAAACTGTCTCCAGCTAGCAGTCAATCCTACTTCTAGTCAGTTAGACTGATGACAATCATTCCTGCCTCCCATTGATATATAGGGGGGCTGTTTCTCCCTAGATATAGGGGATACCCAGTATTCACCTGCTGTAGCTAGAGATATGCACCCATAGACAAGGGATGAGCACTTCCCCTGAATATAGGGGAGCCGTCACCGGATATAAACAGGGAAGGCATCTATATATAGGGAATGCCCCTATCCAGCATAGATACGGGAACTGGGTATACCTTATGTATTGTGAATGTTCCCCATATATAAAGGAAATGGCCATGTTATTTATACATATATATATATATATATATATATATATAGTGCTCCCCTCTGCCAAATAATGGGGTCATTTCCCTTATGTAATGAGAATGCCCACTACATAGGACAGGGCACCTTGCCCCATGCATATAGGTGACTAACTCCCTGTACAGCTCTCCTTTATGGACTTTCGCCCTTTGCTCCGCATACACAAGGAGCACTTCCTCATGGATACCAAGTTTCTCCCTTCCCCCATGAATATAGGGGGTGCCCCCACTTCCCCATGTCTCCAGTGAATGCCCCCAAAATAGGGGCCCTGCATCTGCCCCTCCCCTAGAGGACACCACACCGAACCCCAGAGATAGTGAATGGATGAATGCCCCTCCCCCACGTACATAAGGGACACCTCATGCCTATAGGGGCCGCCCCGTGTGCATAGGGGCCGCCCCACCCCCGGCCCTGGGGGCTGCCCTCCACGCCGACAAGGCGAGCCCTCTCCAGGGTACCTCGTCGTAGAGCCGGTAGATACTGATGCCCATAGTCTCCACCAGGAGCTGCCAGGCTCCCCCTGCCGCCGGCGCCGGCTGGCTCAGCTCCCGGCAGGCGGCCTGGAACTGCTCCTCGGAGAAGCCCCGCTGCGCCTCCATCGCCCGCCTGTGCGGGGCCGGGCCCGGCGCGCCATGTGATATCCCCGGCCGGGCCGGCCCCGGGCCGGAGGCGGCCAATCGCGGGCACCCGCCGCTCGGCTCTTTCCGGGTTCCGGGAGGAGGAAGCTCCGAGCCGCGGGCTTGCAGCGGTGTGGAGCGGCATCCCCCCCTCCCCTCTCCGCCTGTCCTATGCCCATAGGGGGCGTATATAGGGGGCAGCCCTAGACAGGCATAGAGGGGGCATTCCCTGCCCATGTAAGGTATATAGGGCTTCCCCCGATGGATATAGGGGAACACCCCCCTCCTCCAGGCACTGCCTCCAACATACATATGGGACACATCCCCCAAGGTATATAGGGGAACACACCCTCCTCCTCCTCCCAGGCACTTCCTCCAACGTACATATGGGACATTCCCTGCCCATGTGTAGAGGGAGGGACTACTTCCCTCAGCATATACAGGGGGGCACTCATGTATATAGGGGATATTATCTGTTCCTCCATCCAATGTATTGTGGAGCATTCTCTTCCTCCCTGCCATATAGGGTCCTGCCCCCTCCCCTCCCAACCCCATGTATAACACTTGTGGCACCTTAGAGACTAACAAATTTATTTGAGCCTCTGAAACATGTATAACACTGCCACCCGACATATATAGGAGCAATCTCCCTCATGGGCCATTTGTATGGGCAGGGCCAGCTCCAGGCACCAGCCGAGCAAGCTGGTGCTTGGGGCGGCAGATTCAACGGGGCGGCATTCCGCCCAATCCTAGGGCGGCACGGCAGCTTTTTTTTGTTTGTTTGTTCGCCGATCCGGCCGCCCTGTAGGGGGCGGCGGCGCGGAGGAGGAGAGCGCCCTGCTGGGAGCGGGAGCGGCCAGGTCTGTAGCAAGCCCGGCAGGGCAGCCCGCATCCTTCCCTCCCTGCCGACCGGAGCAGCGCGGAGCTGTCCCGGCAGGCGGTGCGGCGGTCTGGGCCGCAGGGCGAGCACCCCGCTGAAGCCCTGGCCGTCCCCCTTCTCTCTCTCCCCCCGCTCCCTCCCCCTCCCCCCTGCTAGCCGGGGCACGTCTGCAGCGCAGGGAGTCCCCCTGCACCCTGGCTCCGGCCGTGCCGCAGGTTGTTTTTTTTTTTCCCCCTTCTTTGCCGCTCCGGCCATGCTGCAATGTTGTTGGTTTTTTTTGCTTTGCCATTCTGGGCGCCCCAATTTTTTTTTTGCTTGTGGTGGCAAAAAAGCCAGAGCCGGCCCTGTGTATGGGAACTGTCTCTCTCCACATGTATAGCGGGGACACTGTAGCGTTGCTTTGTCTGTTAAACAATCACTACATTCTGTCTGTGGTGCAATTTCTAGGAATAAGTGCAAATGGGGTCAATGCAGTGCTATGATTTAGAAATCAAAGGGGTATATGTAGAGCCCTACCAAATTCACAGTCCATTTTGGTCAATTTCACAGTCACCGGATTTTAAAAATTGTAAATTTCATGATTTCAGCTATTTAAATCTGAAATTTCACAGTGTTGTAATTACAAGGATTCTGACCCAAAAAGGAGTTTTGAGGGGGTTGCAAAGTTATTGTAGGCGGGGGTTGCAGTACTGTTCTCCTTACTTCTGCACTGGTGCTGGTGGTGGCGCTGCCTTCAGAGCTGGGCAACTGGAGAGCAGTGGCTGCTGGCTGGGAGGCCAGCTCTGAAGGCAGAGCCGCCACCAGCAGCAGCACAAAAGTAAAGGTGGCATGGTATGGTCTTTCCACACTACTTCTGTGCTGCTGCTGGTGGGGCACTGCCTTCTCCTCTGAAAATGGCCCCCAGTTTGTAAAGTGCTTTGGGGTCTCTCGGGATGACAAGCAATATAAATACAATTGACGTGTTGCTATGGCAGCCTCACACAGACAGCCACAGCAGCCAATGGAGCAAAATGGGGCAGTGCATGGGGAATAGTCTCCATAGGCTGCACGGCTATATTAAATATTGTTCTGCTCACACAGCTCCTCCTAGATTCCCCTGCTTGGACACAGTATCCCTTGGTGAAGAAAGAGTCAAGCAACCCTGAGCTACTAACAGTGGACAAAGAATCAGTCTCACAACACCATTATCATCACCGTCACTAAATGCAAGCTTAGCAAATGTTAGTTCTCTCTAGTTTCCTTGCCTGATTGCTGGCTTCTTTGACAAAGAATCCAGTGATGTCAGATATCCCTCCCAGTTCTAGCTAATTGGTCCATAATCAGGCTGTGAGTGGAGGATGAAGGTTAACATGCAGCAAGAACAAATGCCTCTAATGACCTTGACAGATTACATGATCTCTTATCTTAAAAAGCCTTGGTAGTGTAAGTGGTTAATATGGGGACTGCCTAATATTGCCTGCTACTTTACAGTAAAGCTGAGATCCATGAAGATAGTTAGACTCCTAACATTCATTGAAATCAATGGACGTTTGGAGGTTAAATACTTTTGTAGATCTGGGCCTGAGCATTCTTCATTATATTGTCTGGATAACACTGAAGTGGCTGTTGTACGACTCTACAGCTGCCACGGCTCCAGCACCCTCATGAAAAAAGAGATCTTTGTCTCACAAGGTTATTCCAGCAAGCAAAACTTTTAAATAAACTTGCAGTTTACATCTGTGGCCATGTGGGGTGGTGATTATAAGTAAACATGGGTGCAAGCACTTCTGAAAGGAGCTGATATACTCTACTGGGTTAAGTTCCGTTCACTTTTATAAAATTATTTATTATTTGTATTGCACTAGTGCCTAGGAGCCCCAGTCATGGGTCAGGCCCTACTGTGGTAGGTGCTGTTCAGAGAGGAGTTTATTTTCTTAATGTTACAACAAGAAAGAAATCCATCTGCAAAGAACTAACTAATTAAAAACAGTGGGTCACTATTACGTGGGTTGTGGATGGGGTTTCAATAGTGCCTAACTGATTTAGGAGCACAGATCCCATTGACTTGGGACTTATGCTCCTAAGTCACTAAAATGTCCTTGAAAATCCCACCTGATATTCACAATGTAAATTACCTGATTAAAAATCACACTGTGATGGATTCATGGGACCCAATCCTGCTCCCAGTGAAGTCAATGGAAATCTGCCGTTGACCTCAGTGGCGCGGAACGGAACCAATAACTTGGAGATGAGAAGAGCCTCCTCCATCAGGAACTCATATGAGGACAAAACCCGACAAGATTGAAAACATGAGCAAACACAATCCTTGATCTTTTCCAGATAAATTTCGGTGTTGTTTGTCTTGTACACCATTTCCATAGCCGGGAGAAAACTATCAGCTACTTTGTGTTTTCCTGTGTCAGTGTGGCACTGATGCATCTTGAGAAATTCATGACAATAAATAAAGATTTGGGATTTTACTGGATTCAATTATTAAGCATTCATTTACATACCATCTTCAATGCCGTTGTATTCAATTCATACAAAAAGTCTGGAAACGTGTTGTATGGCCCTAAACACTCATCATACCTACAGTATTTATGTTGGTATCTACATATACAAAGTAGAGTCTTTAGGAATTAAAATCTATTGTTGCTATTGTATTGTTGATTGCATGAACTATAAGGCTTTCTTACATAACCCCATGGCCTTTCTAGCTGATCATGCTCCATAGTGAGGGCTACATCGTCATAGGTTTGATATGGACAATTTTGTGAGGTGCTGCACACTCTCAATTCCTATTGAAGTCAAGGGGAATTCTGAGTGCTCACCATCTCTCAGGAACATTCCCCTTGTTTGCAGCCTGGGACCCCCGGAAGTCATCATCCGATTTTTTTTATGTCCACCCAGTAAGACGCTGGGGAGTCCTGATAATGGTTAGCTTTGGGTTGTCCTGTGTGAGGGAATGGATCAGTCTTATAGATTCACCATCCCTTCTGTGAGCATGTCAATCCCTTTTAGGTTTAGGAGACTTTAATAGATAGCTGCTCCCTCCATTTGCCTCTTTAGGGTGGCCTTCTTTTATACATAGGAATGGAGAAGTGCAGATGAGCTATGGAAACTTTCATCTCTAAGTCACCAGTTTGAATCTAACCCATACTGGTATTTCCTGACAGATGTTACCACCTGATTGTTCTTTGGTGGCTTCTGTAAAATGAACTGCTGGCCTCAGTCCCATTGGTAGAAAACATGACCAAAAAAAACAAATCAGCAATAAATGGTAACCTTGCTTGCAGTCCCCGCAAAGAGGTAAAGATTTTAATGGATCTGAGACTGAATTATCCTCTCAACCCTAGAGACAGTTGGTCTACACAGGGTTGAGGCATGTCAATGGGACAGTTTGGGAAGGGACCATACTTCACGGCTGTCTGTGCTGTACCTACAATATTCTATGACTAAATTGAGGGTGTTGGGTTCAAATTTTAAAGAGTAACTAGTGATTGGGGACATGTTTGGGGGAGGAGGGGGTCAATTTTTGGATGCCCAAATTGAGACACCTTAAAAGGGCCTGATTTTCAGAAAGTGCCGAGCACCCAGCCACTGTAAATCAGCTCCCGTAGGGAATCCAAAACCTGCGGCATCCAAGTGACTAGTCACTACTGAAAATCTTGGCAAAGTTCTTATTCCCCCGTTCTGGCACCTTTCATGAGCAACACATTCACTAAATCCATTGAATAGGAAAGGGAGTGGGTTTAAAATTTGTGTATATTGCAAATCTACATCATACTCAGAAACAGTAAATATACTGTTCCCATACGTAGCCATTTAATCATTTATAATAATAAGCAAATGTTTGTAAAGATAAACGAAAGTGGGGTTTATTGTGCTGTGAAAAGCGGAGCCGTTTCTGGATCCATAAGCAGGTTGATTGATAGACAGTACCATCCACTGAAACGTGTGAGATTCCCATGTACAAGAGTTTTGGGCATGGTTGGAACTTTGGGGGTGTTTTTTCAGGACTTTTATAGAAAATAGTTTTGTGGACTCTTTTATGACTTCTTGCAAATTACCATAAAGACCAAAGTCCTGCAGAAAAGTCAGTAGTGCAGCCTTCCCCACACTGGCTACACCCTGCTCCCAAGG